ATTGTCTGGACATGCTGCAGGATACGGATGCCAAAATAACGGTCTAATGCCTATATATTACTAACTACTGAGTATATTTATTTACTATTAGACAATAAAGTAAATTGAATTGTGAGTATACAACATAGGTAGTAATATAAATATATACTTTAAAAAGTTTCAATTACCCACAAAAAAAATCGTACGTATCTTTGATATTTTTAAACTATTATTATAACTTTTTGTGAGAAACCTTGCATTCAAGATACCTTTTTGGAAAAATGGTTAAAATTGTATATTAACAAGTACAGAAAAAAAAAATATTGTAAGTTGAAATGATGTTCTCTGACTGTTGCTATACGATATTTTATAATCAGAGTTTTAAGTTAAGAATATATTATTTTTTTGAATCTACATATTTATTGTTTTTACCCGCCAGCACGTGGATACACATTTAAATTATATATAAGTTGAAACGTTTGGATAAGTTTGGTGCAAATGATTATTTACCGGAGAACCTATTGTATACTAATAGGTTTCTTGCACCGGTGTGCTTGCTCCACGGAGCAGAGAGAGATAGATGAGTATAGTACTATGACTCGTGATGTATTATTATTTTAATACGATGACACACTGTATTTGTCTTGGTGACGGAAGTATAATATTATCTTGACACTTGTCTGGACGGCGGTGGAAGCCTAAACGCGACTGTTTTGTAGCAGTCGAGATTCTATTAAAATGACATTATTGCACTTTGTCGTTGTCGTCGTACCTATATGTATATCATTATGGCCATCGCGTACAGGCCAACGTGTACGGAACAGCTGACGCCTCCACCGGACGAAGTGGTCTGCACACACGACACATGTACCATATACATGAATAGAAAGTGGAAGACGTAGGTACTCACGTTTATAATCCGCGCGATTTCGTCGACTGTGACGACGATCACAATAATAAAAATTATGGAAGACACTAAACCCAATAAATAATAATAATACGATATATATAAATAAAAACATTCGTAGACGATATTATATTGATATGAGAGACTAAATAATATAATTCTAGTAGGTACGAGAAGCTCGAAGACAACAGTTATTAGGGATGTCACTCAACGAAAACGAGATCGTTGCATACATAATATTGTGTTTATTTCATATTCTCGTAACAACGTATTATGACGTGTCGTTGGACTAGCCATCAGTCACGGTACCTACGCAAATATGTATTCGGTTTGACCAAATCTAGTCGAAAACGTCGTACATTTAGTGGTCCGATCTTATACGAGTGTATCAGTACGACAGTACCTATCACTTACTATACGATAATATGATATATGTACGTAGAATTATATAAATATATAATATGTATTTAACTATCTCTACTTAGCAGTACTGTGTACACTTTATACATGATACTGATACTCGCTCTTACTCGTAAAACAATAAGATCTTATGATAGTTTCACGCAGTTCACTGTCATTTTGGTAACTTGCAGCTCTCGAACATAAAGGCGTATATCAACAACCTAAATTCTGAATAGTTTTTTTTTATTATTTTTGGGTTTATTTTAAAATCTTCATTATTTTAAATGAGCCCATCTGTCGACAAAAACATAGCCATAATAATATTCTTCAATATCTCTTCGCTAGCAATTTACTTATAACACCAGATGCAACAAACGACAATAAAAAACGAACTGTACCACTTTCTAGAGGCTATAATTAATATAATATAACTCTGCTTCCTATAGTCTTGTGAATTCTACTTCAAAAGAAACACAAATATTATTTTATTAACTTAATAATATAGAAATTTTAGACCACTTTTTATTATTCATTCAATCAATATATATATATATATATGAAGATACTCTAATTATTTGTTAATTATTCCAGAATTAAAATAAATTTCTATTTTTATTTTATCTCATCAGCTAATACCTTTATGGTGTATATATATATATATAAATATATGCAACTTATTATATATTTGTTATCGTCAAATATCTTTAAAAAAATTTTTAATCGAGTATAATTTATGATAATTTTATTCTTATTAAAGATTAAGAATAAAAAATAAATTGAAAATGATGTCTGCTCAGATTAGCTTACAGATATATATTTGAGCTAAATCACACATTCTAATTTCTCTGTTTAATTTGCATCAATTTTGTTAAAATTCGAACTTTAAATGCTTATAAAAAAAATTGTGCCTATGTATTTTTAATATTTTTCAACTGCTATTGTTACAATATATCATATAATCTTGCATTAAATTTTCAACATTTTTACCCAACAAATGACATTTTATTGATATTTATAGAAAAATAACTAAGAAAATTGAAAACTGACAATATCCGTAAACAGATCAAAAAGATTCAGAATATTTCCAAATTTTTATGGTGTATAGGAAATGAAAATATTAACATTCAGTAAAATGTTCATGTATCTACAGTCGTTCGTTTTTGAATAACAATAAAATAACAAAACCGCTACATGAGAAATCGAGTGAATATCCAATATTGTAAAATTATGAACTTTAAACGCTCATAAAAATTTAATTTGACTTTCCGGTAGAGATTTTATTGTTGATAAAAGTAGACACACTTATGAGTAATCTTGTATTACATTTTCAAATCTTAGATTAAAAGAAAAATTTTTATTAATTCTCAACTCAAAATAATTTGCTAATTTTCGTGATTTCTCCGTATTTTGTCAAGATTTGAATTTTAAATGCTTATAAATAAAAACTGTGACTTAGGATTTTTAATCTTTTTCAACTAATACTGTAACAATATAGTAGGAGTCTTGTAGGAGTTGTGATTAAACTGTCAAGCTTTTTACTCAACAAATAAAGTTTTATTGACATTCATAGAAAAAAAGACTAATAAAATTGGAAACTGGAAATTTTCCTTATCAGTTCAAAACAAACAAAATATTTTGAAAATTTTGTCGTGTATAGAAAATGTAAATATAAACTATCAGTGAAAATTTCATGTATATACATTTATTTGTTTTAGAGTTACACCAAAAACCAAAATTGATTTTGTGGAAAACCGATTTTGCGTAAAAATTCCCGTTTTTGCTTAATTTGTATGTTGTTGTTCCTGGCGCTTGTGAAAACTATTGGGAATTGTAAAATTTGACCTCCCAAATACACCAACTAGATTCACTTTCCCATCGAACAAGATATTGTTGAAGAAAATCGAAGCAGTTTTACTGCCCTAAACCGTGATGACAGACAAAAAAATAAAAAAAACACACATCATTGTAAAATCAATCCTATCGTTTCACTCACAATCTAAAAATGTATAAGTAATATCACTGTGTTTATGCAAATACTAAAACAAAATTAATATCTAATAAAATCGCCATACTCCTATTGAATTATTTGTTTTTGGATTAACTTTAAATAAGTCTTTAATATTATATCCAACATCGATATTCTCACACGAAAGTCAGTAGTTTAATCTAAATTGCACTGTTTTTTATTAACTGTAATAATGTTCTTGGAAAATATTGGAGACTAATAAAATGTATTAATTTATTGGCTGTGTTCTAAGTTCTTATAACATTCGTATGTTTAGTGAAATATTTTAGAATTTATTGCTTGGAATTTGGATATCTAAAATCACTACAAATATCACAAATGCATTACATTGCAGCTTATAATCAATATAGGTTATAGATAAATACGGTATGATATATACAGTTATAAATTTTAGTTGCAAAAATATATTTACAATAATAATAATATAATAAGTAATAACAGTTATTACAAAACATAATATACAGACATACAGTTAATACCAATGCACATATATTTTAACAATTTGTTAGTTATATATTAAATTTATAGCATAAACTATATGGATTATGAACACATGGTTTCAACGATATGCATTAAACTTTTAAATACCTAATAAATTAATGATTTAGGTATTAAACTTTTAGTTTTTGTATATGTGTATATTATTATTAGTAACTATATTACTGTATGACACAATAAAAAAGATAAAATATTTAAATATATTACATAACAATTGTAAATTACGTTTTGTATTAAATCTTTTACATTGTTAATTTAAATAGTTTAAAAACTATACTTGATCACGCTAAACGCTTCGTACCAATGTGGTTTACTGGTAGAAAACCCCGAGTATCTCAAGTGGTAAATCGAAATTGAACATTTTATATTTACATGCACCTAGTCATGTACTTATATACACCTCTTAAAATTCGCCTTTGCTAATCTAACACAAATCAAATATAGGTACACTGAAAATGCGTTGTTATATCGATGACAGGAATTCAAAATTAAAGTAAAGCATTTATTTAAATATTTTAAGCGCTATTTACATAGCAGACAATATAAATACTAAATATTTGTATACTTGCACAATGCATGCGGTATTACATTAATCGAAAAAACGATTCGAAAAAAATCACACAGATACGTGTGTAAAACTGTTGCAGATAAAAACTGCTCTAGTATGAATCAAATAAGCATAAATTATAATTAATCCTATTCTCGGCGATAGATCAAAAATATTATGCACAGTGTCTAAGAGAGTATAATCTAGAACGGTGGAAAACTCAAAACACCAAAGGGTTTTAGCAAGGATCAGCAATTTTTTAAAACAAAGCAGTCTATTCTATAATTTCATGGTTGACGTAAAAAATATTGATATAACTTATAGGTTTAATATTTTTCTTTGTTTAAATCAATTTTTTTTACAAGCTACAATGTTTTAGGTACGCATAACGGATTCTGTATACAATATAATATTATATGTTATACACTAGGTACCTATAACAATAACAGTGGTACTTGAATACGGCGGAACGTAGGTATACTGATACGGGTGTCTATGGTTTTACAATTATTCGCGTGTTTCACTGTATACGAGTACCTACCTATGTACTATTATATAATATTATATATGCACAGGTCGGATAGACTGCAAGGTAAAACCTACTCATCGAAGCATTTTCGAAACGGGTCAGTCTTCGTCGTTCAGGTCTTTCTCAGCGGACGTTTGTTGTACGCGTTATTCAGGATCTCAAAGTCGTCCATCGTCGTCGGGTCCGATGACTCGGAGGGTGGTGGTAGGTGGTGAACGTAAGGCGGCAATGGGTCGTCGTACCTCTTTGACAGGATAGAAAACTCTCTGTGGGCAGCCACCAGTTTGGTTATTTTCGACGTGATCTCGTAATCGGTGCACGACGAGTCCAGCGCCAGTAGGCTGATAACCGTCCGTCGGAGATCTTCAAGCTTTACGAACAGAAACACAAATACAACATTTTTAAGACCATGATATTACACCATTAATTACAATATGATACTCGCAGACAAGTGAAACTTACAGAACATTCTCGGCGTTTCACTTCACTCAATTGGAATTTAACCGATGACAGGTCGTCCTGTAGCACTCGCATCGTGTGCTCGTTCAGAGTCTTGTCTTGGTTGTGACAATCGGAAGTAGATTTCAACTGGAAAACAAAAAGGCACGTTATTATAATATAATTTTGGATAATTCCGTTCTCTAAACACGATTTCTAGTCAGATTTCGATCATACTTGTTCTTTGAGCACAGTAACTTTCCGTGAAAAACGCATCCGCAACATTTCCGATTCAACGAGACGTTTCTCGAGATCGTCAATTTTCTTCGCTCTTTCCAACGAAGTCAACTATATATATATATATATATATGAAAAGGTGCAGTACATTTTACATAAGATGTAACCCTAAGAATTATGATACACAAACATTGGCACGGTGTTATTCTAACCTTACAGTCTCCAGCATCGGATAGTTGTAGTTTCAAGTCTCGGATCTGCGCTCTACATTCGGTCAACTGTAACTGTGCCTTGTCCAATTGTTTTTGTAACTTTTTAGCCCTACGCAGCACGTATGCAAATGGTTTAGTTTTAATTAGGTACCTATTAAATTAGATATGTACGCAAAAGTGTGTCTGGAAGTAATCTAGATCAAAAAAGTAGGTACTAAAATTCCAACGAATAAAAAATTCCGAGTTAGTAAAATTAAGAGATAGGTCAAAAATCCAAGTAAAAAAAATATATATAAAATAGCCTGTTTAAAAAATAATAATTTATATTAATTAAATTATTTGAGTATGATCATCAAATGTCAAAAATATATTTATATTTTATAAAAAATTGATCTCAACATTATTGTTTACTATAGTACCAATTTAAATCATTATCAAAGTAAATATATTTGTAACTTGATTTAAACTTGAATATTGTAATATATGTTTTAAAATTATTTGTAATTAATTAGCTATATACATTATACAACCAGATTTCACCAGGGAAAAAAATAAACAGACATAAAGCACCATATTTTTGTCAAAATCCATCAAGTAGTTTTTGAGTCTATAAGATACAATCAAACGGAAATTTTTTTTAAAAATGTTATTTCCATAATCAGTGACTATTCTATGCATAAACAAAACAATTTTTGATTTTCATTACCTAGTCAAAACAAAATTTAAAACAACCTATGTAGGGGTTGCAAAACGAAACTATAAACACTCGTCGAATCTCAAGGAGTTTGAAAAATTTGGTTCCAATTGGTTCAGTAGTTTCCAAGTCTATAAGCCTGATTCAAAGGTACATTTATTTATACATAAATAGATTATATATAATATTATTATTAATCTTTTTTAGCAGGCTATTTTCAATTTGTTTTTAATTTGGATCTTCTGTCCTGCCCTTTGGTTTTTACCTCAGAATTTCTAACCATTGGATATTTTATTTCAGGATATTTTTAATCCAATACTATCAGGATGATCCAATAATTTTAATGGTCAATATTATCGAACCCTCCAAATACTATAATATACACCCTTATTATATTATGAATTGTTATATGTTTCAAATTTTCAATAGGTATGTTTAAAGTGAACGTCAAGATACCGTATATTAGCTTCATCTCTTTCTGTTTCCAAAAGTGTGCGTAATTTTGTACTCTCATCCTGGACACTGATTTTTCGACGTAACAAATCGAGATGGAGATCGCGTCTTTGTAGTTGATCCCTTAGCGTACGTACGCGTCGTTGCAGTTGATAAACTAGGGCGCTCTAAATTAGGTAAAAATTAAAAAATATTAAAACGACGAAATCATTTGTAGATAGGCAGTTGAAGTGAATAACATATTATTATTATCGAGTACCTAATAAAGCAAATAAGTACAATAGTATAAAGTGATATAAAATAATAATATTTATCTTTGAAATATTGACGATAAATGTTTACGAGTACACTACAATAATATTTTATATTATAAATAAGACTTATACAATTTTCTGAGCTTATTACCCTAATGTTACGGTGAAAAATAAAATGTTAATTATATAGATTAGGTATATATCAGATAGGTATACAAAAATATAGTAATATTTACGTTTGTATTATGAGACGAAAAGGTTATACAAGATACACCAAAAGTACGTTACGAAAAAGTACTCAGCGATTAAGATTTCAAAGCGCTGATAGCTACAAGTATTATAATATATAAATATATGTTTAAGTACGTTTCAAAGCATATTATTATTATAGTATTAAACCTAAACTTACATATTATTACTTTTACAGTTTTACTCATCAAAGTTTTACAAATACACAATATAATAATCGCCAAGACTACAGTAGTAAAAATGTGAATGGCAACGTAAAAATACCAAAGTATAAAATACAATATTATCAAAGAGATAAAACGATGGTTGAAATATACTTCTCTGTAAGGATAATCGCAATATAAACGATGTCTGGATAACGACGACGACGTATAAGGATAACCGAGCAGTAACTATCACCACGGAAAAGAAAAATATCAAATGATCGGCGAAGATGACGACTTAAATGTTAAAATAGCAATAAATTCTTACCTTGTCAATGTTTTTATCGTATTCCAGTTTGGCAAGCTGTTCGGCCCGTAGCAGCAACGATTCCGTGTGTAAGTCGACTCCAACGTCTTTCGCTATCTGGTCCATGTGCATGACTCTCGAAAGTTTTTCGAGGAATGTAACAAACTACGGCCAAGCATGGTTTGAAATTCGTTCGTTCAATCGAAAACCAAAAAAAAAAAAAAATGCCTGCATTTAGTGTCTCCGTTCAATAGGTACCTACTTTTAAATCAACAGTGGTTGAGTTCAAGTATTGGTCTTAGAGATATGGGATATGAGAAGTTATAAGAGAGTATTTTCAACTATATTCGAAATATACCAAACACACTATCTAATCCACCACGAGAGGAATGCCCGTCGAATTAGTTCACAAACCGATAGGTACGTACACTAAACCCGAAATACACCAATATACCGCTGTATAGTATATATAGGTAGATATACAGCTAATTATTTAATATAAAGATATATTATTTTAATTTTATGTTCTCCGTTCAACTTTTTACTTTAAAATCAAATCAATGTCTTCATATTTATTTTTTAATGTAAAAAAATTAGAAGAAATGTTATGCTTACAATTGTTTTATCATTACGTAAATGCTCTTTGGTCATTTCACACACATTGAGTTCGCTCTCAGCGTGGTTCAATCGAGTCTCTAAATTGCGTCTTTCATCCGCCAACACTCTATTTTCCGACGCCAATCTGTCCTGGTCGATCTGCAGCCGTTCGACCCGGTCGGTCAAACTGATTATCCTGTCCTTGGATTCCCCGTGCAGCTAAGCATTTTACAAAAACGATTTTCAACGATCCTGACCCCAGGGTCGCCATCGATTTACTGTGCTCTTTGTGGCCAACTCGTTGACTAGCCTCTTCACCGCGTCTTTGACACCACTCTCGGTGGACTGAACATACCCGTCCGCCGACGTTAGACACACGGCCAATGACTCCAAAAAGTGTTGCATGTCAATCTGCATTTTTTGACACCTCTCGTCGTGCCCTCTTAAATCGTCTACGACGTGTAAATAATTTAATAAGTAATTTTCAATCTTAACTATGGCTTCACTTACTTCTGAGAGTGGATATAGTGGCCTCCTGACTAGCTATGCTGTTAGACGCGATACCTAAACTCCTGTTGGTTGCCATCAGTTTATCCCTGAGCTCGGATAAATCACGTTCCATTACTCTCTGTTGCATTTCCAAATGTTCTTTTTCCTATAAGTGTTTAGTTTTTTTTTTTTTTTTATAATGGCTATATTATGTAATTTATTATTATTAATTTTGTTTTTTTCCTTTCAAACACCATCATCGACGTGTCATATTAACACAACAATTATATACAACTATGTAATTACAGACCGTTAATATCATACTTGTTTTAACTTATCTATTTCAAGAATATGACCAGCAGCCTGTCTTTGAAGATTTTCTTTATCAGCCAAGGCCCTTTCTAGTTGTTCTCTACAGTTCCTCAATTCTATTTCTATCGAGGTTACATTTTCACAGGCTGAAATGTTTTTACGACGCAGTCTGTTTAATTCCTACAAACACAATAACAATTAAAAGTGATATTATTACATTGAGTTTAACCGGTTTGAGTAAACCGTTTATGGTATAAATAAAACCAAACTGAACATTCGAAATGTTGATGGCCAAAAGTCATAAAAAAAACATAATATTTGTAAATTTTAAGTAACCGTATATTATGCGTTTAAACCTTTTTCAACCGACTATATAATATATGCAATATGCATATATAGTATCATGATTAATTAATTCGTTGGTAAACCTTATTTGAAAATTAAATTGGTGCACCAATGGTTTCAAAGTCAATAATTGAGGGTTCAAAACCAAACCAAAGCAAGCTCGAATTGGAAACAAATATGTGAAGACAACTGTACCTAGGTACCTATTATTGGTAATTATGTATTGGTATATTATTACACATTACTACTTCAATTTCATTAATTTTATAGTAAATTTATTCGTATACCTAGGTATTTAGTGAATAATATTATTCAGTTATTTTATAATATTAACTATTGAGTATTCAAGTATAAATCGTTTTTCTGATATTCACCTGATGCATTTCCGATGCTTTGGATAAGACCACATCAACGGCGGCTGGTGAATCTGAATTCAAAGACTCATAACCTAACGCCATCGAAGTTCTACTCACGAACTCTGACATTGATCTCCTTGCCGAGTCCCTCGCGTTTTCAGCTTTAGTACAGTTCAATTCCAATAAATCGATTCTCCGCTCCAACTCAGAACATTTCTCTGCCTGATGGCGATTTTCTCTAGCTAAAGATTCGGATGACATGTCTGCTCTTCCCAATGACATTGTCAACGATCTTTCTTGTTCCTCCAATTCCTAATAAAAAAAAAAAATAAACATGTACAAACAATAAATGTATAGATTAGGTTTAGGTATAAAAAAGATAAAATATAATATAGAATTCCGTGTACCTTTATCCTATTTCTCAAACTGGCGATGATAGAATTCTGTCTAACTTGCTGCTCTTTCAACATTTCCGTTTCGGCCTCGAGCTCTACCGTTCTTTGATCTCTAGTTCGAAGCTGCCCTTTGGTATCTTGCAGCTATAACAATGACACAATCGGATTGTATTTATCTTTAAATATTCACCTGAATAATATGGTTACTAACCTCGGATATAAGACGATCTCTTTTGAACTGCAAAGCAGCCAGCTCGCTTTTCAGAGTGGATATCATCTCGTGATTACTTATAGTGTCTTCAGAATCCATCTGCAAAAAAAACAGAACAACTTGAGTTAATTTAACATAAATGTACGAAATAATCTGGAATTAAAGCGTGAAGAACGTAAATAAAAGGTGGTTTATTACGGGAGCAAAAAAAAACAGAACTTTTTCACTAGTAGGTACCACGTACGAATTGTATACGACTATATAGATTGTCTGGAGTCACGCACATTATATTATTCCAGTCACTAAACCCTTTTCACCAGTCCTCATCGAAATTATAGCGTAGGTATACAAGGAATATAATATGTATTGTTGTTTTTGCCTGGTGACCATACCTGGTTTTTTTTTTATCGAACTCTATCGGACTTTTAATGATTTGTGTGGTTTTTGCTAGAGTTTCGTCATTGGCATTATTGTTTTATGGAACGCTGATAATAATAATAATACACAGGCAGATGTATACCGACTTCTGATATGATGGTCGGCCAGCCAAGTACTAAACCAAACCGCCGGCGCCGAGTGCGTACAACAGTATACCTAACAATAGTGCGTGTGTCGTGAACGAATGGAATTTATCGATTTGCATGTCACACGATATATTGTACAGAAACATTTACATAGAGCCGTGTTCTTAAGTAGGTTAAACCTGTGAGTTTGGAGTATATTTTTGGCGCATGAAAACGACTGTTTTCTAACTTGCGGGCGGTTTAATAATAATATTATATAGGCATAGGTATACCCACAGATATTATGTTGTTCCAAACGCATAATAATACGATGGTATAATAATAATCCTACATCGGATACAATTATTATAATAAATATTAGGATATATATATACATGAATATGAATATATGCCCACATATTATTATATATAGCCACCGATTAGGTATAATAATAATAATAACAATAACGATGACAATAATACGTAATATGCTTTATGATTTATTCGAATTCAGACAACGTTGCAAATATTCAGCGCTACTGTTTGCCTGGTACCCAGTGGATCACCCTGGGCCAGTGCTCATTGTTGTGCGTGTGTGTCTCTTTATACATTTGGCGAATGTGTCCTCGGAGTGCTTAAAAAAAAATCAATCATCATGACATGATGTTAATTTTTTTTAGCACGACACCGCCATATAATATATTATGTGAAATGCGCCTATAAAATTCTATGTACGTATATTTACAGTTGTAATTTAATCGGATGTCGCGGCATATAATATATATATATATAATAAATATCGTTGGATATAACATAATATGATAACGTTTTACATCTTAAATAAATATAGCGAATATTTTGTGAATAAACCGTTTTACGTATATTATTACGATCGCTAGTGTGCAGGTTGGTAAATACGCATAGCAGGGCATAATAATATAATATTTAATGTATGAATATATACTTTTATATATAGATAGGTGCAGTGCCGTTGGATGGATTATAACTGATGATATCGGACGAAATTTTATAGTGATTTAATAAGTCGATTTATGTTTTCAGCCTTTAGACGCTGGAACGCTGCTAGACAAATTTGCAAATAAATTTTTTTTTAAAACAAACTGCCCGAACGACGGAATCGGACATCGCGGAAGGATAAGGCACCTGTAATCGTTGTATATTTTCACTTTACTCGTTCTGGCCCTTGGTCACTCCACCAATAATATTTTCCTAGAGAAAAATAAGAACTCGAGGGTGTAAAAGACCCTCAAACCTTTATAATATTAGCATATCCCGCTCTGTATCCGCGCAATCCATATAAAAAAATAACGACACGCTTAATTAATCATATAATATAATCATGCCCGTTTACTTTTTGGCCGCAAAGGATGTCGAACACCCTCCAGTCTTCGTCGCTCATCGGTTGTGTCATCCTGGCGAGGCTTTTCGACTATCATAAAATATTATATTGAATTATATGACGACGGATAGGCCGCGGGTGCACGTCGGCGTAGCACACGAAATGTTATACCAACTCAAACCGACCGGCATAAAAAGCTAGCGAGCATTTGAAGCGAACGTGGTCGTGTCGGTGCTCGTCTGTATATCGATTCCCCTTTGCTGCAAGAGCCACGCGCTAAAATAAAGGCTATAATAATAATGACGTACCGTGTTGAATTGTTGACCCCCCTCCGCCTCCGACACGCTTAGTGACGCATTTACTCCTGTGGCGTAGTTGGGAAAATTCGTCCCGATGAGAGGGATTATGTACCTATATATACCTTTAGTGCCCCCGGGCCAAAATCCTCTAGTAGAGCAGTGAAAAAATCTATTTAGTAAATACAGTAGTAATTATTGTATACACTGTCTTCGAAAAATAAAGTGATCTCGGGTACCAGTTTTTGACGAAAGCTATGGTACCTTTTGCATTTACATAGCTCCCATTTTTGTGATCACCAAAATAATAATAAAACTGTGGATTTATTTCTTAAAATAAAATGATCATTATCTATCAGTATATAGTGTTATTCTAGTAAATTATAACAATATATGGTTGGTGTATAATGTATTTGAATTTTGACTTCTATGAAGTAAAAGTTTAATTTTTAAGACAATGAAAAAAAAATTGGAAAACATCGGAATGTAAATTTTAAGTAGTTTCCGATACCACAAATCCCAATAGATACACAAATCCATATCTGCTTTAGCGTTAAAATAATAATTAGTTGATGCGATGGGCATAATAGGAGATCCACTATATAATACCTAATATACATGACGGATACTAGTTTACTACCGCATGACTGTATTCAGCTGACATGTTTATTTAACAGGTTCTTTATTAAATATAATAATAGTACCTAATACGAGATAAAAAATAAACAGTTTTTTTTAGATAGTATAATACATAATATTCACATAGCCTTGATTGTTTGTGACAGATTGATAATCTGAACTAGCATAATATTACAGCTTAATCGCAATATAATATAATATCGTATTATAATATGCACCTACCTATGTGTAATGTGTATGTGTTTTTTTTTTCAAACTATTCGCTTCTTAACGCAGAAACCTTGTACCTATACAGTGCCTAATCTTGATTTAAAATATCAACTACATATTTTGGACTTGGCGTGGTTAATTAAAATCTATTTTCAAAAAATGTATATAGAAACCCGATACAGTTTGACTTTATTTTTCGATTTAGAAAACCGTCGGCCCAACTGTCAAACTCAGGTATAAGTGGTTATACGTTATACCTATTAATATATATTATGATAAAATATATTTAAGTATATTTAAGTATATACTTTGAATTCTCCTCTACAATGTAAAATAATACGTAATGTTATATTCGATAATATTTCCAACATAGTATACAATTACTGTTAAATAAGTGGCTTATACTACAAAGCAGTGGCGCAACTACAAAATACAAATAAACAGAAACATTTTACACTGCGATGCTTATATTGTTTGAGTAACGTAACATGGATTTATAGATTTATACTAAAAAAAAAATATTAAAAACGACAGGAGTACATAAACAGGTAGGTACCAATAAACAATACATTTTTTAAATAAAAATCATAAAGGTTTTATGCAAACTGCTTGATATATAGTGTGTTCAATTTTAATCAAATTCAAATATTGAAATGTAATTCGGTCAAATTTTTAATGTATACAAATCCAAACTAATATAATATTATGCTATATTACTCAGCGTCAATCACAAATAATTCACATAATAGATATAGGTATATACTTTTATTTGTTTCGTGGTACATACACAACGAAAAATGTTTTAAATATTATATTAGTGGGGAAAATTCGAAATTTTGTATGTATCCCCGAGTATTGTTGATGTATTGTTGTGGGTTTGTAACTTGCATAATATAGAATAATGAACGATAGCTGATAAGCCCATTGCCCATAGTATAAGAGGATCAAGCGTGTAAGTATAATAAACAACAGCAGCGAATTCAGTACGGACGTGTAAAGGAATTGTCTCGTTGACAGCAAACTGCTGAGTATAAAATATAATCGTGATCGCGAACAATAGCAGGAAATATCAACCGATTCGTCTGCAGTGTTTTATACGATTTTCTCGAGTATAGTATAGACGAACAAAAGAACAATAATCGTAGGTAGGTGATAAAACACATCAAACAGATGTGTGGTACCTATATAATATGCGCACAATAAATACGTAATATTTTTGTTTTTACTTTTATAATATGTATAATAGGTATATATTGTATTTATATATTTTTTAATGTTTTTTATTTATCAAGGTTATTTAAACAACAGTACAACACCGACCGTTTTTATGAAGTTCGATATAGTACATATATGTACAATACATAGGCGTGCGCACAGGGGGTGACTGGGCGCCTCAGGACCCTTCACCAAAAATGACAAGGGCCCTAATTATTAATTAAGTGTAAATTAAATGAATGAAATTATTGACGAATTCAAAAATGTTGTTCCTATTAAACGTCGATTATCATTATAAGATTGTATATCTATATATGGTTATGTAATAATTATTAGAATGAACAATAAAAAAAAATAAAAATATTCTTTGTCTATTTGATATCTTTAAAACATTTTCCTATATCTATAATTGTTTTCAAAATTATTGTGGTCCTTAATTTTTAGTGTGCATCGCCGGAACCAAAAGTCTGCCCACGCCTATGGTACAGTATTACAATTACTGCGAGCAATACGAACGTGTGTGTGTTTGTGTGTCTTGTATCACTGCGTACCATGCAATTTTGGATGAAATTAGATCCATAGGCAATAGGCCCCCAACCCCTAAACGAATTTCTGAGATTGGATTTCAAAGATCTATGGGCCTCTTTAAAGTAACACAACATTTATAAATTATAATAATTTATTTTCGATCATCGAGCTTATATAGCTTTAAAATATTTTAAGGTACCTAACGGCCAACAACTATGCTTCCATAAGACCCCCTATCAAAATCTCCATCTACAATGATATTATAATTTACATATTACATGTATGCTTTATAATATAATATGTTGACGGCTCAGCGCACACTGAGTACATTATGTAATTTTTACACATTGAGCATTTACATGAAGCACTGAGGGAAAACAAACATCAATGATATATAACTATGGTTACGGAACCATATTGTCAATGTATTGTTTTCTGAAGTCGTCTGTAATATAATGTTTTATTACATCTGTATACATATATGTATAGTATGTATATATATATATAAATGTATTTATGAAGTGTATACTCATCAATATAGTTTTGAAACTTGCTCGTCGAGTTTTCCCCAAGTTTAAAATTAGGTAGGTATATAGCTTATTTTGAAAATGTATTTAATTCTCTGGTGCTTAGTTACCTACTTAGATATGATTTCCGGACACAAATTATTGTACCTACCATTGGCGTAAAGTTTTTGACGTTTTTGACCTTTTGTCTATAACAATATAGAATCTTATAAAACTTAAATTACCTATTAATAACAATACTTGACTTTTAAACTAACTAAAATTCTATAATTAATTATTTATCTTTGTGACATGTGAGCACCGAGTCTGAGTGCACAGCTATAATTAGGGCCCGGATGTTGATAACATTTTTACATTTTTTTGAAATATCATAGAACATAGGTACGTTATTTTCCTAGACACTAAGATGTGTTTAAAATTTAAATAACATACTAATCTATACAATTTGTTTTTATTTTGAATTTTTGCGTTTTTTTTTTGTTCTTGGTCATTTTTGTAAGTTTTCTTAAAAATGTATAAAATGCTCAATTTTCATAGCTAAGAATTGAAAATTTAAAACAAGATTTCAGTAGTTTATGCTGACACCAAAAAGTCTAATTAATATAATAAAGACATTTTATAGATGATAATACCTATATTAAGTTAAAATTAGGACTATTTGACCGCTTCCTACTCCTTCGACCACTTCTAACGACTAACATCGAAGCACACGAAACTCTCCAATAAGCTCCTGCTTTACAAACTCCTACTCAGACCCATCTGGATTTATGGGACTCAACTATGGGTCGCTGCCAAAATTTCCAACATCAACCACATTCAAAAATTCCAATCCGAAACTCTACGTACAATTCTATAAAAACACCATTCTATGTCTCTAACCACACCCTCCACTTTGATCTCAAAATACCATTTGTCTCTGAACTAGCAAAAACTCACTCTAAACGTTTCAATAGCCACCTAGTCCACCATAAGAATCCCTTAATCTCCGATCTATCATCTACTTCTATCCTAGGTAACCCAATTAAAAGACTTAAAAGACAGTGGTGTCGTGATTTGCTGGCCTAATTTAAAGTAATACTCATGTCGTAGTACCTTCTCTGGGAGGCCTCTACATTCCATAATATAATCTGCCTTTTTAATTTTATTTTTCTTATTTTAACATTGTAACCCCTCAATTGTTCTTATTATTCTTCTTTGTAATCTTGTTGAATAAAAAAATATATAAATCAAAAAAAAAACTTAGGACAAAATATAGATATTTAAATGAAAAATAACGATTTTAGTTATTTTGTTGTAATCTAAAAAATATTATTCTTGGATACTTGAAACTTTTAAAATATATTATTATTATACTCACTATACACAATGACTTTTTTAAATGCTATTTATTAGCAAATTAATTCAACCTACTAATGTCTAATAGTACATTTTTTTTTTATTATAATAAGACATTCCTAGCCTATAATGCTATCTACATCTATAGATAAATAACACTAATTTTTGGCTAATTTTAATATGATAACATGGTAATTATAATAGGGATAATAACAATAGTGACAAACAATTATTTAATAATCATTATCGAATAAAATCATGCGGACGACCGCGTTTTAGACGTCTTTGAGGCAGTGTCGGACTGGCTAGAAAAAAGCTCAGT